TATTTTAAGCCCACTATTGACACTTGCTCGGATGAAAAGATTCCTTTCAAAATACCACTGCTCATCCACAAGTACCTGGTTGTCCCTAGAGCAGCGGTTGCAACCCACAGGAACTATATTAAAGGATCGTGGCATTAGGAAGATTGAGAACCACTGTCCTAGAACTCTGATGGAGAAGTGCTAGGAAATTGTTGTTTCTATGCCTGTGAACACAACATCCATTTTATAGCCTATGTATCAAGAAGTTATTTTGAATTACAAGTCTTATTCTTTTTTTTTGAGACAGAGTCCCACTTTGTTGCCCTCAGTTGAGTGCCGTGGCATCATAGCTACCTCAAACTCTTGGGCTTAAGCGACTCTCTTGCCTCAGACTCCCAAGAGCCAGAGACTACATGCATCTGCACAACGCCTGGCTATTTTTAGGTTGTAGTTATCATTGTTGTTTGGTAGGCCCTGGGCTGGGTTTGAACCTGCCAGCTCTGGTGTACATGGCTGGCACCCTAGCCATTGAGCTACAGGTGCCGAGCCAGAAGTCTTATTCTTTAAGACCTTTAGTAAGGCTATAGATGGGCGCCTCTGATGGATCCAGGCAAAGTAAATTGAAAAGCTATTGGAAAGGATTTGCACATAGATGCCATTAGGGAGATTCATGATTCATGAGTAGAGGCTAAAATATCAAATTAACAGGTGTTTGGAAGAAATTAATTCTAACCCTCATGGATAACTTTGAGGGGTTCAAGTCTTCTCTGGAGGAAGTGACTGCAGATGCGGTGGAAATAACAAGAGAAGTAGAAGTAGAAGTGACACTTGAAAATGTGATTGAACTGTAATTCCATAGTAAATCTTGAAGGATGAGGAGTTGCTTCATATAAATGAGCAAAGACGTGATTTCTTGAGGTAGAAACTACTTGGTGAAGATGCTGTGAGGCTCGGCGCCTGTGGCTCAAGTGGCTAAGGTGCCAGCCACATACACCTAAGGTGGCGGGTTTGAATCCAGCCTAGGCTCGCCAAACAACAATAATGGCTGCAACAAAAAATAGCCAGGCGTTGTGGCGGGCGCCTGTGGTCCCAGCTACTTGGGAGGCTGAGGCAGGAGACTTGCTTGAGCCCAGGAGTTAGAGGTTGCTGTGAGCTGTGATACCACAGCACCCTACCCAGGGGGATAGCTTGAGGCTCTGTCTCAAAAAAAAAAAAAAGATGCTGTGAACACTGTTGAAATTAAATCAAAGGATTTATATATTTCATGAACTTAGTTGATTAAGCAGTGGCAGGGGTTGAGAGGATGAAGTCCAATTTTGAAAGAAGTTTTACTGTGAATAAAATGCTGTTCGACAGTATTGCATGCTACAGAGAAATCTTTCATGAAAGGAAGAATCTGTCTGTGGCGGACTTCATTGTCTTATTTTAAGAAATTGATAACAGCCGCCCCAACTTCAGCTACCAATCAGGCAGTATCAAAGCCAGCTCTTCTGCGAGTGAAAAGAGTTTAACTTGCTGATGACTCAGATGATTATTAGCAATTTTTGGCAATAAAGTATTTTTTTATCTAAAGTACCTATTAGTTTTTTTAGACATTAAGCTATTGGACATTTAATGGACTACAGTCCAGTGTAAACATGACTTTTATATACATTGGGAGACCAAAAAATTTGTGTGATTTGCTTTTTGTGGTGGCAGCTTTATTGCACTGGTCTGGAACCAAACCTGGAATATTTTCAAGATGTGCCTGTATTGGAAATTGTATCAGAAAAATGCTTTTAATTGCCAAGCTTATTTTAAAGAATTCAAAATGAGAGCAGTTTATTATATTTACCCACATATTATCATTTCTGTTGATCTTCCATTATTCCTAGCATTCTATTTTCTTTTGACTGAAGAACTTCCTTTTAGAAATTCTTTTAGTGCAGGCAAAGAATTCTTATTCTTTGCATGCAGGTTAGAGTGTCTATTATTTTACATGTATTTCTCAGGGATATTTTCACTCGTTAGGGAGTTTTAGGTTTATAGTTCTTTTCCATTTGAGCACTTTATGGATGGTGTTCCATTCCTTCTGGCTTGAATGGTTTCTGATGATAAATCACCAGTGATTTAATTTGTTAAACTTCATTCTCTCATGAGTAATGCATTATTTTTTGCCTTTAGTAATTTTTAGCAGTTTGACTATGATGTGTGCAGGCATGGATCTATTGGGATTGTTCTATTTGAGGTTTGTGAGCTTCTTGAATGTAGAAGTTTATGTCTTTCACTAAATTTTGGTAAGTTTCTTCTTTTTTTTTCTTTTTCTTTTTTAAACTCACAGATATACATTGACTGACACACTAAAAATAAAAATTATTTTTCCTTGGGCCACAGTGTTTTATTAGTTCAAGATAGGTCAAGAGATTTGTGAGTTATGTATGTTTCACAAGGCTCCAGGCTTAAAACTAGCATGAATTAAATATTATTTACATGGCAGTTAATGTGCTTGACTTAATAAAACACTGGTTCTAAGGAAATTTTTTTTCTAGTGTGACAGTGTCATATTTATACTTGCTTTAAAATCTTTATCTACTCATTAGATAATTCATTTGGATAATTCACTCAGTGCTCTTAATTTCTGTGTCATCTTGTTATTGGTTTCTGCTAATTGTCTTTCCCAGGAGAAAAGATTCCTGTTCTCTTGATGCCGGGTACTTAACACTTTTGGATTGTGCTCTGGACATTTTCAATATTATGTTACGAAACTGTCTGTTATTTAAATGCTGTGGAAATGATGATATTTTTATTTTGGCAGGCAGTTGATCAGTTAGATTGAGGCTACAGGTTCCAACTAGCTTTCTATAGATTGTAGTTTTAATCTAAGTTCTATTTTCAAAACTTTTATGGTACTATTTGTATTTTTCCAGTATGTGCACTATGCAGTCTATGACCTGCATAGGAATTTATCTCATATTTTAGTTTTTATAGTTTGTTAGGCTGCTTAGGGTTAAATCCATATTATGTGCAGATCATAAACAGTTTGCTGTTATTTTCTCAAGTTCATTCCTCTCTGTTATATCTATGCTATTTTCTAGTTTCCTGGGACCCTCTTCTGCCCTTTGGCCAAAAAGCTTGCTGTGCATTTACTTCATTTCCCATTCTGTGTCTGGATCTTAGGAAGACAAAGGGGAGAAAAATCAAGAAGTTGGTCCAGAGTTTCTTCATTTGGTGAGGATGTTTTCTCTCTCATAGTTTTATATTCCTGCTACTGCCACTGTTGGAGCTATTACCACCATAGGATTGCTTGGGAACTGGGACATGAGAGAGTTAAGAAGAGAAAAAAGGAGTGATTTTCACCCATTCTTTCTGAGCGTTAGCAGACTCCTTTCTCACTTCTTAGACCGAGTTATGGGAATTCTCTTAGATCTCTCCTTGTTACTACTAAGGTCTACTTTTAGGTTTTAGGTTCTATTAAACCCAGGCTGAGAGATTCTGAGTGGTTTTATTTAAGACTGAATTTGGAGTGTGAGAGCCTGCATTAATAGTAATGGTTAACATTTCAGTGCTTATTGCTAGACAATATCATAAGCATAGGTTTGTCTACCTCTGGTGCTCAAGTTGTTAATCACTGAAATATGTGACTCAGCCTGCCTTTTCTTTTTTAAATACAATTTTGTTGGGTGGAGTTTTGAATTTGGGGACTCATTTGTTTTGAATATAGGATAGAAGATAAAGAGGAATAGACTGAGAGAAGTTCATGGAGTCACTGTAGATTCTTTGAAGACCTTGGACGTCAGCTATATAAATCACTGTAGTATTTAGCATCTTTATAAAGTGTGTTTTGTCCTGGGCTTAAGTATGTCCAACACAGACAGCTTTTACTTTTTCCCCAAATCCCTTTCATTCAACTCTGGTTCCCATTTATCCTATCAGTTCCGTCAGTAGTAGGGTCTGTAATGTAATAGTAGGGTTGGTTTCGGGAGTAATAGAGTTAAATTTCCTCATGTCTATTATATGTTCTTCTTTTTTCTTTGTACTCAAAGAATCTGATTCTATCCTTTTGAAAAAATAACTTAGTTGTTATTTAGAAATGGTGATTTTTCTTTTTTCAGTCCTTTGTTTTTCACTTTAGGGAAAACAAAGAAAATGGGCAAGCAACAGTTTTGTTACTGTTTTCTATTTCTCTGTTTTTTCTAGCAATAACAATGATCATAATGACAGTTATTTTTATTGGATAGTAGTGAGGTTGCAATCTAGGCCTGTTGTATTCTAAAGTTTGTAGTATTAACCAGGGTGTAGATATCTTTAGGTACCATGGGCTTACTTGAGGGACAATAGGAGCAAGCAAGGAGGAAGAATTTTAAAGTGAACTGGAAAAGAAAGAAGTATGGTTTGTGAAGAAATACGTTCTTTTCCTTTCCTTTTCCTTTGGAAGAAGAAAAAGATGGAGAGAAGGAGGGAAGAGTAGCAATTTGAAACTGAACCAGACCAGCCTAAAAAGATTAGTTTATATTGCTAGGCATCTCTGGTTCCTCTGATTCCTTGAAGCTTCAGGTACTCTAGCAGTTGTTAAAGTAGAACATACATTATGTACCATGTTTCCCCGAAAATAAGACCTACCCAAACAATAAGCCCTAGCAGGATTTCAGTGCATTTGTTAAATATAAGCCCTATCCCGATAATAAGACCTAGTGATGGGTGTGGCTATGCAGCGTATCTGCATAGCCATGCCATGTATTTCAGTGCAGAGGGGAAGACATCCCCTGAAAATAAGCCCTAGTGTGTCTTCTTGAGAAAAAATAAATATAAGACAGTGTCTTATTTTCAGGGAAACATGGTATTAACAACTCAGACATAATTTGAAACAGTTTGTTTTTGAATGCACTGTAATGGCTGGCCTAGGATTCCTTCTTCTATGTATTTCAGGGTTTCTATGGGAAAATGAGTTTTGAGTTCCTAAAAACTGATTAATACCAGTGCTTTTTTTTATTTCAAAGTCCAAACTTAAATGATAAATAAAATGTAAATTTTAGATATTCTTCTCAAATTGTTATGTGAACATATTTGGAATATTACTTTCACTGTCTAACAGAAACTGTACAGTAGAACCTCCATAGTTGACTACCTCCTTGCTTTGACCACATCCTTAAGTTGACCTAATTTTCATAGATAGACTAGACATGGACAACATGTAAATATCAGTACAGTAGCGTAGTTACTTAAGTTCACCACCTTCATGTGTAACTAGTATGTTATAGTCCCTTTGGTGGTCACCGTACAGAGGTTCTACTCTATAAGGAAATAAAAAGTTTTATTATACAAAGTATGCAGGTCATTATGAAAATTTTGAAAGACATAAAAGTCAAGAAACAAAATCCATGTGGACCGGAACAAATGAAGCCCTCCCAGCAACATTGATAAGCCGAGCCAGGTGAGACTTGCATAGGTGAATCAGAAAGGACACCGTTGACTATGTTTCCTGGAAGTGAAGTAATGGACCATAACAGTCTTTCTTACATGTTTCATAGTGATCCATGTATAGTGAAGCTGGAAGATAGAAGTATGCTGGATTATTATATTAGGAAAACAGACTAAAAAGATAAATAAGCTTGGAAAGGTACAGCCTCAGAAGAATCATTTAAAGATTGAAATTTATAGGTCAATCATCTGAAAAGGAAAATGTTTACTAAAACTAGGGAATTAATATCTATTCTTTCAAGCTTATTTGAAGTAAATAAATTGTCATTTTGACTTACAGATAATTTATAGAACTTATTAGAAGAACTGAGTGCTACAGGTAGACTATGTCTTGTGATTATATAACCATAAACAGTTAATAACACAAAATTGGGAAGATTCTAACTTTTCAGTTAACTACAAGAAATGGTAGTCCTGCTCCCACCCACAGCTTCTTAGATCTTTTATTGACCAGAAATCACTGGCTAGGACCATTACTTTGTGTAGTATTCCTGTGTTCTGTTACTGGAAATTCAAAGCAAAACTGGTATTTAAAAGCCTAGATTCTTAGATTAAAAACCAGAGGCTAGGCAGATAGATAAACATGAACAAGTTATAAGTTTATAAGTTGTTGAACTAACATTTGTAGTTTTTGTTTAATAATAAAACTGATAAAGACCCTATCAGTTTAAATAAGTAAATGAGTAATGTGGTCATAATCATTTTCAGTTATAAAAAGTTGTTAATATGGAGTATTTCAGGAAAAAGCATGCAGCATATTTGGAACACTTAAACAATTTTTAAAGCAGATTTCTAACATAAAGGCTATAATGTAACTTGGTTGGGATCTCTTAATTTCTCAGTGATAATCTTTTTTTTGATGCTTTTCTGTTGCTGAAGATAAACTGTTACTAATACATGGCCCTTAATTGTATGAGTCTTAAAATAGAGGATAGTATTACAAAATATTAATTATAATTTATATAAATATAAGCTTTGTGTTCTTAAAGTAGAAAATGTGAAAATAGCTATCAGACTATTTAGACTAGATAGGACAAATAAATTATTGAGCTACATAAAGAGACAGTATATTACATTTCCTGAAAAGTTCATAGGTTCTTAAAATATTATATTAATTTTCAAGTTGATGTTTATCACTTTAACTCCAGCTAAAATATTTTTTATTCTCAGATATTTAGGTTAATGGAGGAGATAGGATGGTATGAATTTTCCCAAATAAAAAAAATAATTATGGATTATAGGGGAGCATATCATGACTTTAAAATCAACTAAATTGGGAAGCTATCTAGAGCAATGCTTCTCAGTCTTTAATGTACATATGAATTATATACATCTCTTGATAAAATGTAGATTCCAATTCAGTAGGTATGATTGGTCCCTGAGATAACTCTGCATTTGCAACAGGTTCCGGGATGATATTGATGCTGCCTTTCTGCATGAATAGGGAGGGGAGTAACCTTTGAATATCTGAATTAAAAATTTTTTTGATTAATACATAATAGATGTACATATTTTGAGAGTACATGTGCTATTTTGATATATTCATATAATGGGTGATGATCAAATCAGGGTGATGATCAAATCAGGGTAATTGGGATATATATCACCTTAAACATTTATTTTTATAAACTTTTATATAGATACTTGAATTGGGAACATTCAAATTATTTTCTTCTAGCTATTTTGAAATATACGGTACATTATTTTTGACTGTAGTCACCCTGTATCTTACATGTAGGTTTTATTTCTTCTAATTGTATTTTATTCCCACAAATCAACTTCTCTTCATTTCTGTATCCCACCCCCTCAGCCTTTCCAGCCTGATAACCACTGGTCTACTCTCTGTCTTCATGAGATCTGCTTTTTTAGTTCCCACATATGAGTGAGAACATGTGATATTTCTCTTTCTGTGACTGGCTTATTTCACTTAACATAATAATCTCCAGTTCCATCCATGTTGTTCTACCAGACAAGATTTTATTCCTTTTTCTGGACAAAGAATATTCCAGGTGTAGATATGCCACATTCTGTATGTTTATATTATTGATTTGAGGCCTTTTTTTCTTATGTACGAGGTTTAATATTTATAATGCTTTTGCTGATTCTTACAAATTTGACCTAATGACATGTTTAGATTTAGGTCTTTACTTTATTTTCCCTTTGTTCCCTCTGATTTTGTTCTTCTATAACTTTCTTTGGGTTATTTGGAGATTTTTATTTCATTTAAATTTATTGTGCTATTGACTAATTTCTTTAGTGGTAGCTATAGGAAGTATAATAAACATACTTAACGTTTCATAATCTACTTAGAGCATTGGTTCTCAGCCTTCCATTCATCCATTGATGGACACTTAGATTGATTCCATATATTGGCTGTTGTAGTGCTGCAGTAAATGTGGGAGGGCAGATAACTCTCTAACATACTGATTTCCCTTTTTGATGGCTATATGCCCAATAGTAGAATTGCTGGACCATAATTATAGTTTTATTTTTAGTCTTTTGCAGAACCTTTGTACATTTTTCCATAGTGACTATACTAATTTACATGTCTGAATTTTTTTTTTGAGATAGAGCCTTAAGCGGTCACCCTGGGTAGAGTGCTTTGGCATCATAGCTCACAGCAACTCCTGGGCTGGGCTCAAGCGAGTCTTCTGCCTCTGCCTCCCAAGTAGCTGGGACCACAGGTGCCCCCCACAACGCCTGGCTGTTTTTTGGTTGCAGCCATCATTGTTGTTTGGCAGGCGCAGGCT